CTGAGGGACTCCTCTATCCCCCACTCTTTGTCCTCATTTACATGTGGCACGCACCCGCTCTCTCTGGCTTCTCCGCCCAAATCCATAATCAAAGGCACGTGTGCTCCGAGCTCACGCCTCTGGGCCCTAGAGTCCAGCGCCCCGTGCTTGCGCTCCCAAGCGCTTTTTGCAATAGTACGTGATCAGGAGCAGGACCCCAACCTGGGAGCCAGCAGGGCCACAGGTGGAAGTTGTACAGGGTGCAGCGAGAGAGAGCCTGCACACCCTGTGCCCACAGCTTTTCGGAGCTGCTCCTGATTCTACTGTCCTCCTGTCCATCCCCTTCAATGCCAGCAAGCCTCTGCCTCAGGGCCTTTGCACCTGTTACTGCCACCTAACCCCTCCCCCGACCCCTCGTGACTCACTCACGCCCCCACCTCCTTCCCACCTTTACTGCAGTGTCACCTGGGTGAGGCTGTCCATCCCCTCATCTCACCACCAGGCCTCTCCCGGACCTGGCTGGCCCAGCCCCAACCCCGCCATGCCGCCCCTCCCCCTCTAACATAACAAATGCTCTCGTGTTTATCTGTCGCTCCCTCTAGAGTGCAAATTCCATGAGATTTCAAGAGTCTGGTTGCTACATGTCAGCACCCAGCCTTGACGACCCTGTCCATCCCCTCGCCCCCAGGCCACCCAGCTACATGGTCTGCCCTCGGGGACATGGGGTATCACCTGCTGCCCACAAGCCAGAAGGGGAACTCCTGTGAGCACACCAGCCAGCAGCTCCCCAGGAACTACATCCCACTCCAAGTGCAGCCCCTGGCCAGCAGCATCCTGTCGCCCATGAGCCTGCAGAAATGCAGCATCTCAGGCCCTGCTCCAGCCCTGACTCAGAACGTGCAGTGTGAGCTTGGCAAGTTAAGGAAGCTCTGCTGGGCTGCCAGGGAAGACACTGGGGAGCCCAGCCGAACACCCAGGGTCAGGGCCTCACACACAGCAGCGTCGGCCCCATCACTGGTGCCGCACCAGCACACGGAGCAGTGACAGCTACAGTGCAGCACCCAAATTACAGCCCTTTATAAATAGGGTAGTAACTCACACAACAACCAATTTATTTGAGACACCCTGCTGCACACGAGAAAAACACCCCGTGCTCTCAGCTGTCTCCCTGAAGCCTCCCTGCGGTCCTGAGCCCTGGGCACCGCAGCTGCCCGTGCGACAGCCCATCATTCATTCAGTCGCTCAGTCAAAGTTCTGAAGCACCTGTTGTATGCTCACCCTTATTCCAAGCACGAATTTGACACTAAAAAGGTAGTTGGCATCTCTTCAGCGAGTGAAAAAAGACAGAAGAATTACAACGCAGTGAGATGAGTTTATTAACGGGAATGCTGATGTTCCTACTCAGGAATCAACAAAAGCCTCCTTCTGATCTGACAGGCGAAGGAGCAAGGCACCAGGAGCGGAGGGTGGGGGGCAGGGCTTTGGGCACCCCAGCGCAGAACAGGGAGGGCTCTGGAGTGCTGGTTCTGGGAGCCAGGTGCTGAGCTGGGAAGGGAGCAGAGGCAGTGTCTTGGAAGACGTGCTAAAGCCAAGTACACTAAGCAACAACACCAATGTCCGGGGGCTTCATGCAAAAGTCATGACTTAATCAAGTGCACACTGGAAAGGGAACGAAAGGCAGGCTGGAGGATTCAGCAACAGAACACTCGGACGGCCCCTGGCCGCAGTAAGAGATGGCCAGAACCACCTGAAAGCCCGTGGAAAATTACTTTAATGGCCCTCCCATAATAGAACCCTTAACTGATGTTTGGTTACAATCCTCTGCAATTGCCTTGTGTTTGCTCGAGCTGTGCTCTACGTAACAGCACGCACTGGCAGCTGGCACACGCAGAGCCTCTCCTGTGCCCCACTGCACAGGGACTCTGCACACACACGCCAGAACCTTTCGGGGTGTGGGGAAGGGGAAACGTGGGGTCCCTGGTGGGGGTGGGTGCTCTTGGCCAGGCACCGGCCACGTGATAGGCATCTGCGCAGGTGGAGTGAGATGAGAGGGGGCGGCGGATCCGTTATTATTACTTCTAATTCAGTCTAAGGAGATCAAAGGCACTGCCTCTCTCCCCTTAGTGCTGGGGCAGAACATCCGGACGCACACAGCCCGGGCCAGTCGCCGCACTTTGAAAGTCGTTTTCAAATCCACCCGAGGAAATGAAAGACACTGGCTGGCTGGAAACCATATCAAAAGCGGAACAGTTGGAGGACGCTGTTATCATTACTAACAACTAGTCTTTTTTCAGTTACCCATGATGACTACTGCTACCTTTTCCCAAGCACCATCAATGACGGAACTTTTATATCATTATTGTTAGAGGATGTAGTAAAAATACTGAACCAGTCCGCACGGACTCTGGTTGGAAATAACCAACCAGAACAGGGACTAGTTAAATAACAGCCTGCGTCATCACGACCCCAGAGGTTACAGAGTAAACAGCCCATGGGGCCCACGCGGCTCACAGGGGTGTTTTATTGAACCTGAGCTGGGTTTCAAAACTGCCCAACTTTTTAAAGATTTGTTGCAGGATATTAAAAAAAAAAGTAGTGAGATCTCCTATAAAAATTCCGATGACGGAGTGATGCAGGGCCTGGCTCCCTGCAGGGTACACCTGGCTAGTTCTGCACTGCTTCACAGGAGGGGCCAGGTAAAGCATGTTCTTAGCATGAATAATACAAAAAGATCACAGTCATCAGTAACCATCAGCAGGATGCACTAACCATTGGGCAAGAGACCAAAATCCGCCGGGCTGTTAGATGGCACCAGCTCGCTGTCCGGCCTCTGTCTCCACTGCCCCTTCATCCGTCTGCTGATTACCTGGCTGGCTCGCTCCCAGCAGCTACCACCGCTTGCCCTGACTCAAGAGAGCCAGTCTTCCTCTTAAAGAGACCTTTTCCCTGGCTGCATTCTCTGGCCTCTGCCTCTCCTCCCTGCCTGAGATTGTGAGCCTGCACTCTAAGCAACAATTCTCAGCCTGCAGTGAGCATCAGATGCACCTGAGGCACCCACCCCCAGGCTTTGCTGCCTTCGGGTGGTAATGATGCTGGCCTGGGGCCAAACCAATGAACCCAAATGCCATTGGGTTCGGTGCTGATGGGTTGGGCCATGTGCATGTCTCCTCCGGCCGAGTGAGGAGACAGGGTCCCTGCACTAAGACCTCACGAATAGCTTCACAAAACACCAGGGAACTGTGTGTCCTGCCTCTGAGTTCACAGCCTCCCGAAGGAAGAACCACCTCTTCCTTTCCAGATTGTCCTTTGGTCTTCTTCCAAACAGCTCAATAAATGGGATGATAATGCCCAGGACATGCAAAACCCTCTGCAGCCCCATGGACATACATGGACATTAAAAGGGACAGTATCAGCACAACTTGACACTGTCCCACCACCCACAGGCCCTGCATAAGGGAATCTGATCAATGTTTGAAACTGATAACACATGTAATGATCCTACTCTGTGCCAAGCACGTATCAATGCTTTATGCATCATGACAACCCTCTGATGGTGGAATTATCATTGCTTAATTGCCATGATAATTATTCTTCTTCTATTTCATCACAGATAAGCAGAGAGCAGAAGGGCGAACTGACTCGTCCAAGTTTACCAGCTCTAGAACCAAGAGATTATCAGTTCCACTGTATCCACTGAGCCCAGATGACTACTCTTAGGAAGACTGCTCAACCCCAAGCATATTTCAAAATAGGTGTTGAATACCTGGAAGTCAATAAGCACCTGCTTGCTGATGGAGTGGGGGATGTTTAGCCAGGATTAGGAGCATCAGACTAGCATCTGCAAGTGTCTGAAGGACACTCTCCAGAGAAAGAGGCTGGACAGCAGAGTTGGACACAGAGATAACCATTTGGGAAAGTTGATTGTCTGTCAAAATGTAAGTTTGCAATAATTGAAAGGGCTACACAGTGGAATTGGCTGCATCTCAGGGTCTGGCATCCTAACACCAGGAAGGGTCCAGAGAGAAAGAGGACTTGTCGTACACTGACTGAGCGACCTTGGTCTGAGAATAGCAGCAGGGTGTTGTGAGCATGTGATTGCTTAAGATGGTGCCCAGCACATAATAAGTGATCAGGAAATGAATAATATCAACTGCAACTCCGATTATCACCATGTGCTTCATCTGAACACCAGAGACCCTTACATCTTAGGTTTCAAAGACAATATTTAGGTTCACTTTACAGCTCAGCCGGTGGTTTTATAACCCTTAATAAAGTCACCAGGTCTCTGTTGCTTAATCTCACCAAGAAATATCTTCCCAACACAATCACAGTTCTGATGAATTCAGGTGCAAACTCTGCCTCCCCGGCGCTGACAGGAGCTCCCTGCCGAGCCTGTGGGGTTCAAAAGCCCCATGTGTGCACGACGGTACGAAGTGCGAGACAGATTCTTACATTACAGAAACCATCTCAAAGCCATGGCTCCCCAGAGCCCGCCCGCAGGAGTCCCCGAGTGCCTCAGCTTCAGTTGTTTCGCCTTGGGAGGGCGGGAGAGCCGGCTGGTAGACCTGTCTTATTTACTGACTCAGCTGTAGTGTATGTTTCAGAATTAAATTTAAATACCATTGAGATAAACAACATGACCTTTTCAATGTCAGTATGAAGAGAAAACCACACAGTCAAACGGAGGAAACAGCCATAGCAAAATTAGATTCTTTGTTACCGTCCAAAACCAGATCTGGACTCTGTTCACCAAAGAACCATTCTCAAAAGATGCCAGCTAAGACCGTCCCGGAGCCTGAATCGACAGAACAAGACTCAAGAGCCACCAACTTCCCAGTGCTGTAGGAGCTGGGCTGGAGGGACAGAAGGTTCCGCTTTCTTACCCAGTGGCTTTGGGTAGAAACATCAGCACCTAGAGACTTATTCACACCAGTGTTGGTCCCTGCAGGAACCTCAGGCTGTGAGGGGGACGGGTGGGCGATGTGTGAGGACCCACCAGCCACAGGGAACAGGCTACTTACAGCTTTCGGCTTATATGGAGGCTGAATCTCCTTGCGTTCAAGTTTCTCCCAATCAATATACCGGAAAAATGCATGCTCTTTGATGTCACGTTCGCCTTCAGGTCCACAGCCCAGGCGTTTGCCCGGATGTTTGGTCATGAGCTTCAAAAGAAAGAAAAATGTTGACTTTAATGCACTTCAAGCACAGGCGAGGAGGCGCTGAGAGGAATGACTTCCCGAACGCAGGAAGAACCTCAGGTAATTTTTATTTTCTGCCTTCCAGCACAGCCATAATTTCCTACCAAATCTTTATAACAGGAGGACCCAACAATAATGCCTGCTGCTACTCACCCCAGATTATTCGTTATAGGACGGGTCAGACATAAGCCTGAATGTGGCCCTGAACTCCAAGTTAGAAATGCCGCGTGTCACCTTCTTGGTGAAGAATATGTTCTATGCAATTACTGGTGCACTTAATGAGAACAGTTTCAACATCTTTAAATACTCTCCCTCCCACCACAAGGAAACTGGAGATTGACCAAGGCAAAGGCCACACTGATACACATAATATTTGCATTCCTCAGGAAGGCTCTTGTGAAAATGACAAAACAGAAGAAAAAATATTAGTCAAATGGACCCAAGTTTCAAGTAATTACTTTCTGAAATCTCATTAAATAGTCAAAACCTAACCCAGCTCATTTCCCTTGTATCACACATTATACTAAACTCCGCGGAGGTTTCTTTGGTGTTCCATTTAAATTACTTAATTATCGAGCCCTCCATCTTTGGCTCTCTGAGCCAGGGCTAAATAACAAGATGAATAGATGCTCCAAGATGAAACCAGACAGGCTTCCTCTTGTAAATGAATCCAAAGCAGTATGAAAATATCGCTGATCTCAAGACTTCAGCGAGTGCACAGGGAGTAGAGATGGAGGAGTTGGTAATTTGGAAAAATAAAACAAGGCCAATAAGAAGGCATCAAAAGAGGAAACAAGAGCTTGGAACATACTAACCCAAGAAGCTCGCCAGAGCTGACCTGACATCAAGTCGCCCGTGACGTCAAGGTCCTTAGATTTTTGCCAGGACAAAGCAGTTGTCAGAGAGGTGACAGCATATCTGCCTAACTCCAAATCATGTGCTTTTTTTTCTTATTTATTTATTTGTGCATACAGAACTGGGGTACAGGCCAGAGATGCAGGGGCGGTGAGAGGATTCACCAGAGACAGAGTGGGGAGCAGAACAGGCCGACTGAGGAAGCACACTGCTGAAGGGGGCAGCGGGCGGGTCAGGAGAGGTCTGCAGTGCCATGTGGGTCACCTCTGGAGCGGGGATTTAACTCACGCTGCAGTGGCTTGAGCTTCTTAGTGCTGTGCTCTAACCTGCTGCGCCACCAGGGAGGGCCCGAAATCATGTGCTTTTAAGACAAATGAGAAAGCTCTTTGCATGTGGGATCCCCAGGGATAACTGTAGATTGCTTTGGTCAGAAAAGTTTTATGGAGGTCTAGCAAATTGGGCCAAGCCTTGACATCTGAGTAGGACAACGATACGAGGAAAGAAAGGACTAGGAGGTCTTAGGGAGCCCTGTACCCAGATTAGGGTGGATTTCGGGGACTGAACACCTCCTGTGTGCCCTAGCTTTGTGCTAAAGGCACGTGAATCTTCCCTCCTGGTGGCTGAAGAAACGGGGCCTAGAGTAGTCATTTGCCCATGGTCACACAGCTAAGTAGCAGAGCTGTACACTGAGCACAGCCCAGCCCCAGGGTTCCGGCTGCCTGGTCCTGCAGCCTCCATCAGTCTCTGCTTTTCCTCAGTGGGTGGCCAGCGTGAGCTTCCCTCTGCTTTGTCTGTTCAAAGTAGGACTGGCAATCCGAGCAGTTACACTAATTTTGGGGGCACAAAATAGGGTCTTCAGGGGGATGAGTACATAAAAGGCTTTTCATCAGGGCAGGAGATTGCTATCAAAAGCTGAGCTCAGTTTCAGTATAAGCAGGAAGACACCAATGAAGAAAAGTCACTGCAAAGTCACTGCAGACACATCCGGCAGGGATGTGTGTCTCTGCCAGTGTCCACAGGCCTTGTGCCTGGGGCCACGCAGACAGCACTGCCCATCACCTCCCAGACCAGCCTCAGGGCCCAGGGTTCGGGAGGCAGCGGTTGGCTGTAGATTTGAGCCAAGCATCGACCTTGATAAAAGTGAGTGCACGCTCGGGACTCTGGCCTCTGGCCCACTCAATTCAGAAAGATTCCCCCCCCCCACCCCAATGGACAGAGAGTCACTCCAGTTAATCCTGAAGGTTATGGGTCCTAAATTAACAGATATCTGCTCTACTGGAGAATCTGCTAATTGGGGCTGAAGCTGAATGCAGCTGACCTGGAAAAAGCCCCTTTCTTCCATGACCCACTGAGAGCCGCCCTCCACCCCTCCACCCCGCCCCACGGTCCAGCAAGGCAGACTGTGCAAGGAAGATCGTGAGCATACACAGAGCACCTACTATGTGCCAACACCATGCAGCAAGTTTGTCTTAAGTCACCTGATTTAAAGTCCTCAAACACCCTGTTCCATAAGCATTATGATTACTCCATTTTCACAGATAAAACATACAGGAATCTTGAGATGCAAAGGCCACGTGCTCAGTAAGTGGAAGGGTCCAGATTTGTAAGGGTCTTGATTTTCCAAGTTCCCCATCCCCTTTGAAAATTCCTATCTTGGAGGCTGCAAGCCTAAATGCCCGGAAGAGCCTGGTGTGCAGCTTCACAGTGCTAGCATCAGTAATAGAGTAACAGCCCAAGGGTCTTGGAGCAGAGCGCGAGGCTCTGTTACGTGATTTGCGTGCACTAACTCATTCACTCTCCAAAAAACCCTATACATAGTACTGCCATTACCCCCAATCTACAGATGGGGTGGGACAACTTCCCCGCTGTCACAGGGCACTGAGCCTGACGAGGACTTGATCAGAGATGGGCTATTTACCAACTGGGGAGGGCGTGCCCCAGCTAACGGGGCTGCTAGCCAGCTCAGGGGTGCTTTGGGACACAGCGGACCATCACTGCGAGGCTGGGTTTTTCAAGAGAATCTGGAAAGCTTAATGTTTATGGGAAGTTCCTGCATCTTTCAATATTGGAAATTATTTAAGCAGTCTAAAACCTCCTCCCTCTCCCTCGGCCCCCCGCAAAGATCTGATCTGACCTTCCTCTTTTCCTCTTCTCGCCCCGCCTCAGCCCCAGGGCCTTGCTTAGCTCCTAATGAACCTTGGGACCTTGGGGTCTCCACTCTCTTCCTCATTTCCCCTCTCCCTGCCTCATGCCTTTACAGTATTTTCAATCAGTTCACTTCAAGAGATTCAGAAGGCATATGAAAAATATCACATCTGAAATACTCAACATTTACATGGGCGACAATGTGATAACTCTGGGCACAAGCTAGGCACAGGATGATGGGCAGGTTCACTGTTGATTCCGGAGCCTTAGGGAGATTTGGCAGGGGAACTAGATACAGGCAGACCAGCAAGCAGGGAGGCAGAGAGGCTGGGAGGCAGGGAGGCTGGGAGACTGGGAGGGAGGGAGGCTGGGAGGCAGAGAGGCAGGGAGGGAGGTTGGGAGGGAGGGAGGGAGGCTGAGAGGAAGGGAGGGAGGGAGGCTGGGAGGGAGGTTGGGAGGCTGGGAAGCAGGGGAGTAGAGAGGGGGTGGGGGAGGGAGGGTGGCAAACAGCAGCTACACCTCCCAGCCCCACAGTCTGCCATGATCTAATTCTTGTCCAGAGCATTTGTACTTATAGGTATTTGTGCCCCCTGCATGTGCTCCCAAGAGCTTTCTTGCAATGACAGGTTATCACATGTGGGTAATGAAACTCAGGGAAACAAGGCCGCAGGTGGTGGTCACAGGGGCTAGTGGCAGGGAGGAGAAAGAAAGCCGGCAATTTAATTTTCCCTATAATAACGTGAACACTTGCAAAGACCTGTGGATATCAAACATCCTGAGGGCCCTGAATTCAAGGAGGAGGAGGAGGGAAAGGGACAAGGGGGGCGGGAGGAGGGGGGCAAGCAGGGATGCGGGGAGAATACTCCCTCCTCAAGTAAACATTTCCATCAATCTTTAAAAAAAAAAAATGTTAGGGATGGAGATGAACGCATATGTGTTTTTCCCCAAGAACATTTTCAGCTTAGCCTCTGCAGCTGAAACACAAAAGGTAGGTGGTTCACTAAGAGCAGGACTCTAGGAGGTGTGACAAGCAGCTTCTGCACTGGGACTGGCCCCAGCTATCCCAAACTGCTGGCATTTCCCAGCTCTCCCCACCAGCACCAGCCCATATTGGGGGGGGAGGCGGTGAGAGGGTTTCCCAGCTCTTCCAAGTGCCAACCCATAAGGGGGTGGGGTGAGGGGGAACCTGACTATTCAGGAAGAGCAAGGTCAGACTAGCAGAAGTCTGCAAACACCCCCAGGATCAAGGTCCAGCAGCCCCGGCTTATTCCAGTACCAGGGGGTACTGCTGTGCAGGTGTGGCAGACTCAAACCCTGCACCCCGGACCACGGACAGCCAACAGACAGCTGCACAGACCTTATTTCCTGGGGCCTCCAGCACTGCCTTCACACTCTCATCAGAGGTGAAGAGACACCACATTTGGATAATGCTGCACAGTGGGTGTCAAGCCAGAGACCCTTGCAAAGTACAGACAGCCAGATGTCCTCTCGGAGGTGACACAGAGATGCACAGTCTGAAAAAACACTTCAGGCTCATCTGAGGGCACCAGAGGCGAGGACCACTGATTTCCAGGGACTCTCACAGCCCCCTGCAGGTACATGTGCGCGGTGTGTAACAGGCAATCCTTACTCCACAAATGCAAGTCCTTTCTGCACAAACGCAGCTCGCATACATGGTCTCAGGGGAGCAGTGGGGCTTAGGGACACCACTGGGGCAGCTCATCTGAGAATCCCTTAAACCTAATCATACCACGGGATCTTTTCCAAGGACAAAAAGCACACTCTCTGCACTAGCTGCACGGCACAGTGGAGCTGGGCAAGGCCGCGGAGTTGAGTAGCGGCCCTCTGGTGCCCCTTTGCCTGGTTCCAGCTCTTTGGCAAAGCCTCTGTGCTTCCTTCTTCATTCATTCAGTAAGCATTCCCCTGTGCTGGCTCGAGCCTGGAGTCTGGCCAGCAGCAAAAGGCTGTTGCAGGCAGGCCTCCACGTTGCATTTGTGCAAATTAGAAAATTGCTTTCTTTTCTCTGGGAGGCAGCCGCGTGGTGCCAGGGCGTTTGGGTAAGCAAGCGGGCGAGGTCCGAAGGCCCGTCTCCACCCTGGGTGAGACGCTCGGGGCAGGGCCCTGCCAGACGGCAGCCTGGCCACCAGAGTGGAAGGGGCTCACTTACCCCTTTGCAGATGGCCACGGCTTCCTTGGACATGGACTTTGGATAAGCCACATTGTGCTCCATGATGGACTGGAAGAGTTCGTCTTCATCCTCCCCTTCAAAGGGGGCCTGTGGGGCAGAGGAAGGGTGGGAGAAGCTCACCTGCCTGCACCCGCCACATCCCAGCCAGCAGACCCACCCCTGGGGCTTGGAGGAAAAATGCTCAAGGCATTGGGGTGACCGCAGGGAGGTGAAAGTCAGGCTCAGAGGATTTATGAGCTGGGATCAGATGCTATCTTCAAACGAGAGGACTTATCTTACAAACCACGTAACGTAAACTTACCTGCCCAGCCAACATTTCATAGAGCAGGACTCCAAATGCCCACCAATCCACCGACTTCCCATAGGGCTGATAAGCAATGATCTGGAAAACACAAGGCATTCCATCAGGGAGGTCTGCAGGCTCTTGTCGAGGCTGGAGACTGAGTACGCGCTTTAGTGGCAGAAGATGGGTGGGGGTGGAGAGACCCCTGCCTGGCACCTGCCTATTGAAAGAAATTGTCTGTCGCCGTCCCAGATGGGAGCCATCGAAGTGACCCAGGACCCCAGGGTCCACCTGGGCTATTTCTTCATCCTGAGATGGTGGAGATCCTTCACACAGGTGCCTGCAGAGGGACTAACGTCTGCTTTTTTTTTTTTTTTTTAAAGAAAAGATGTATTTATGTATGCATACAAAAGCTAGGGTGCAGGGCAGAGGTGCAGGGCTGAGAGGATTCACCAGAGACGGAGTGGGGAGCAGAACAGGCAGATCCACTGAAATACACTGCTGAGGGGAGCAGCAGGGAGACAGGAGAGGTCTGCTGCTCCCTGGCCAGGGCTCAAACTCCTGCTGCAGTGGCTGCGATGGCTTCATAGCGCTGAGACTTGACCCAGTGTGCCACCAGGGAGGGCCCCAATATCTGCCTTTTAAAGCACTTAGGATGGTGTGCTCTTTTCATTTTTATTCAACGACTGGCATTTTTTAGAAGAAAAGCTGTCTTCATTTCTCAATACAAAATTAATATCATTCACACAACAACGTGAATATACTCACCGCTGTGACTCAGAAAAAGCTAAGATGGTAAACTGTGTTTTTTTAATAATTAGAATTTTAAAGTAGCTACAAATGTAGCAACATCTTATTACCCTTTGACTTTTCATTTAGAAAATTACAGGTAAACAAAGAGACTACAATTAAAATCACCCACCATAATCCTTTATCAAAAGAAAAGTGTGATTAATATTTGGTCTCTTTCCTTCTAGATTCTTTTCTATTAGTATATAATAAACTCTGTATGTGTGCTTTACATAAACTTCAACACTTTAATATGTGGACCTTAAATAGAGTATTTTATTAACTTAATTTTTCCATGCTCCTACCTGTATACTGTCATAATCAGAATTTTTTTTTTTGTCGTTGTTGCTGTAATCAGTTTTTACATATCCATTTATAACTGGGCTATCCAGTGCATGCCTAATTGTCCCCCACCACCCTCTGTGGCTTCATCTCTAAGTGCAGAACCCTTCCCCCCCCCCCCCAAGGACAGTGAGGCCCTGGGGACTGAAGGGAAAGCTTCCAGTGAGAACACTTCTCATTGCAAGCGTTTTCACACCTTTAAAGTACTTCATGTCTTATTTGATCTTCACAACGACCTAAAAAGTTAATCCTTTTACAGAGGAAAAGAGAGTCTGGGGGAGGTGGAAGAAACTGCAGAGGAGAAATGGTTAATTACTGGTCCAGCCACAAAGGAAGCAGCTCAGGCCTCTCTGGCAGGGGCGGGAGGACCCACTTTGCCCAAACCACTCCTGGCTTTTCCTGCTTCACAGGAACTTTCAGAGGCCACAGATACTGGGGCCCACCTGCACAGCTCCTGACTTGATGGATCTAGGGTACTGCCTGGGCACCCCACTATTTAAAAGCTCCTAGGGGGCTGTAAAGTGCAGCAAGAGTTGTGAACCTGAGAAAGTTCTCAAACTCATGGCAGATTAATGAATTGTGCCTGGTGTCAAGTGATGAACAAAATGGTGATAAACTAAGGGGGAACCCCTCTGGGTCCTAATGCAGAATCACTCTTTTGAAGGATCGTTTTTCAGTCACTCCAGTAATACACAAATAGGTTTATACCTTGTGAAAATTTCCAGTAATACACAAATAGGTTTATACCTTGTGAAAATTTTTCAGTAGCCTTCAGATTGAGCTAGTTTTCCCTTTACCTCAGAGATAGCCAAAGTTATCCAATCAGCCCACAAACACCAGGATTTTATGTTTTTACATGTACATGTATGTACTTAGAAAATATAAAGCAGTGTCTTAAGTGTTGGTATTCTTTTTCATACAGTCCGTCTTCCTGGTTTTTGATATTTTCCCCTTAATATGTCCTGCAGATCATTGTACATCTACTATTCCTAACTCACACTTTCAAACTGATGCTCACAAGTATTTATTTCATACTGTAAATAATTTAGTCTATGACCTCTCCCTTACTGGTGGCCATCCCAGTCAGACATATGTGGTCTGATCTTTTTAAGTGCTGTATAGTATTCCTTACTACGAACACAGAATATTCTAGCTAACCATCATCTTTTGAGTCGGGAGGTTCTCTCCTAGTTTTCATTTTTCAATATCTGTGGCCATGAAGAAAGGACTTTGAACACCAATGTTTCTCTGTGTGTGTGTGTGCACATGTATTACAAACCAGGCTCCTAGAAGTGACACTGCTTTGCAAAGCATATGCAGGTTTAAATTTTGTGCCAAGTTATTCTGTGGCAAGGAACTTCCCACTGCCATTATTACACAGCGAGCGGCTGAGTCAAGAAAAGAGCACTTTTAGAATGTCCATTTCCAAGATGCTGTACCAAGCCTTCAGTTCCTTTCCTTAAAAATCCAGTAACAGATTGCAGAATGCCACATTTCCAAGCACCAATTCAGAAGCAGAAAAGGAGAAGGAAAGCTGTATCATCTGGCACAAACTGTTGTACCACAGTGTGCAGAGGAAGTTCATTCCACAACTGACCATTTCTTCGGGAACAGAGAGGGAGGCCCTAGAATGAAATCTTCACCCTTTCGCCTGTGTCCTAACCCCAGGGCGAAGTATCCCGAGTAGCACAAGGACTGTGTCAGCTGAAGGTTCTCTCCACCCTTCCTCTCTGTCCCTCCCTTAGCAAACATTTCAGTGTCATATGGCCATGAGCCACAGCAGCTTGACAAAGAATTTTACTGATGAGTGGTGGAAGGTTCTCTCGAGTTTTATTTAACTTTTCTCCCAAACCTTGATGTATTTTGGGCCTGAGCTTCTGGATGTGTGCTAAGTTAATTTGGATGTGTGATGTGAAAGGGATGATTTTGCGTATAAAGAAGAACTGGCCTGAGGTCTGCTTGCAGGTACCCCCTCTTCAGCAATCCCCACCCAACTCTGACATGGCCTCGACTCTGACATGACCGCCTGGGGGGAGGGGGGGGAGGGGAGGGTGTGTGCCGTGGGTCCTGCCAGCTCTCACCTCTGGGGCAATGTAGTCTGGGGTGCCGCAGAAGGTCTTGGTTGTCACCCCATCCCAGATGTTTTCTTTACACATGCCGAAATCAGCGATCTTGATGTGGCCTTCAGAATCCAGCATCACGTTGTCAAGCTTTAGGTCACTGCAATGGATGTAACAGTTTAGGGGCTTCATTAAATGCTATTTTTGTTGAGACAACTGCAGGCATTGGTTCTATACAAAGGGCTGTTCTAGGTGCTGGGGGCACAGCCTTTGTTCTCTAGCTGCTAACACTCTGGAAGGGAGATAGAGATGGGTACACAGGCTTCTGGATTCTTCTTTTCTACAGAGCCAACTGTGCCAAGAGTCTCATGAGGACACAGAGAACAGCAGCTTCGACCAGAGAGAACCACTAGAGAAAAAGCTGAATACAGGAGGATCCTTGTATCCTAGACATATCAAGAAATGACCTTTGCAAGGACCCTTTTTATTTCTTAGGAAGATAAAGTTCTCATAAAATTTGTACTTAAAAAAAAATCTCTGAAGATAACACAGGAAAAAACTGCTTAAGAAAGTCTTATTTAACACCAACTGTTCAGAGTTCTAGCACATGAGCCAGGAGTTTCCATGGATTCTTTAAGTTAAAAAAAATTTGTTGTGCACCCACTGTGGGATAGGCACCATGCTTGGAGCTAGGAATATACAGTGAACACGACAAACAAGCATCCTGCTCATGTTCAGATTCAAGACCAGTAAAGGGAAAAAGAAAACTAAAAAGTATTCAAATCTATAGGCGTGACCAGGGCAGATTCTGGTGGGTGGTAAGAAGAAAATAACAAAGGATGATGAGACACAGGAACTAGGGAAAGTCACTGTAAGCAGTGTCAGAAGGGACCTCTCCAGGGAGGTGACATTTGACCTTTAACAGTAAGGACATGTACTTCAACCTTTTATTTCATCTGTGTTGATGAGGAGCATTTGCTCTTTGGGGGAACACTTGAACATGCTCAGCATATCGGTCACTCCAGGGTCAATGCACTTCCCTCCTTCCTAGACACTTACTCCAAAGTCAACACTTGGTGTTTGAGCACCAGTGAGGAGAGGTGACAATGGGCCAGACTTTTTCCATCGCAATACAAGTTCAGCTTCTTCTTAGAGGTAAGGGGACCTATAGTTGATTTGGATCTCTACCTTAGGCCATTCTTGGGTGGTGAACATCTGTGGCTTCTGCCTACTCTAGCACCCTGTGATGAGAACATTCTTATATTCCTGTGAAGAACCACCCTTCTCTGATTCTCAGTCCACATACTTGGGAGTACTGCTGATCCTAACTGCTGACTCTCGGAGGGATCACATGGGCCGGTCCTGACCATTGAAAATACCCCACCTTGTGGTTATGGCTGCTGGTTTAGGCATGACCCTGTGTGCCACCAGGAGCTAGTATAGTCATGAAGCATCATCCCTGGCCCTTCTGCCTTCAGGAGAGAGCTGCCTTCTTTCTACATTGGGATTGCTCCATGGAAGAATGCAGGTGCCAGGTGTCACCAGGTGGAGGAAAGAGAGCCAGTTTAGATAAAGCAACACTGAGAGAGAGGGTAGTAAATGAACTCTCCTAGCATCATTTTAGTCCCTGCCCCCACCCCGATCTAAAGTTAGATCTATCCCCTGAACTTCCCTTTTATATCACTTTTTTTAAAAATTGCCTTTTTTAAGTTAGTTTGAATTAAGCCGTGGCCATCAATTTTAAATAAAAGATTACAACCGGAAGAAGTTGTCCTGCCATCCCTACTGTGATTCTGAGGTCTGCTCATCCCAGAGAGGGCCCACTGGCACCGGGTTTACCAACAGCAGCATGCAGGTCTTTGGCGCTGTCCATGGTACCAGCCCCAGGCTCGACTACAGGCTGCGGCAGTCTTGAATGGCAGCTCAGAACCCAGAAAACCTGGACCTTGCAGCCACTTGCCTCATCTAGGCATACCAGGTCTACAAGTGATTTGACTAACAGACGCACACAACATTCTTCCCCAGATTGCTTCCATGCTTTCAAACAGGCAGCTGGGGCAACCAAGGAAGGGATAACAGCTTCGTCTGTGATAGATCAGGAGCTGTGGGTGTGGAGAGCCAGCAGCTCCTGGGGCTAGGGGACACCCTAGTCACTGTCACATAGTAGTGTGTGACAGCTCCCTGCATTCTTTTGTTTGATGTCATAACACTCACTTCTGCCTCAAAAGGAGGCTGGAGCAATTGTTTTCATTTTCAGAAGTCTTTCAAGAGAAAAACCAACACAAGTTTCAGAGTGTTGATCCATAAATCAGATACTAATTTTGGCAAGAAGGATTATTTTTTTTATCTTCTCTGCTCCCAAAACCCCTAATCATGGTCCTCAGAGAGGCCAAGCCTAACATAAATCCTCATTCTCTTTACTTAAAAACTGTCCATTTAGCTGGAGATTTAAATGAAAAGACTTTAGCACCATAAAGGCAATCTCTATAATATCATAAAACCATTCATCTTCTATCATGTAATTTAGGATAAAATAGTCGAGGTAGGTTTTATTACTTACAATTCAAAACCTCAATTGAGAGATTAGAGAGACAGATTTGGAGACTATGGAGTCTGGAACAATGCCTGATTGTAATGCAGATCTGGTCTGGTGAAGATGCCCAATGTCCCTACAGGGGACAGACATTGCCCTCGTTCCATGAATCCCTAATGCTGGTCTCTGAAATGGCTGATAAGAAATGCATCTCTCACCTCTGGAAACTAGATGTAGCTGATTGCTATCACCAGTCTGGATTCTACATCTCTTCTTTCTTGGACACAAACTTCTGATATGAATCTTGAGTGAGGGGATGAGAGTTACAGCCTGGGTTGTGTGCCTGTCCTTGCTACAGGGAGACTGAGAAAGTACCTGGCATTTTCAGTCTATAGAGTTGAAGATGAAATCTGTTCCCACACACAAATATAAGTCCAGATGCTAACTGGCTTGAAAAAGTGATACATATCCCTTAAAAAACATACAGTAGACGTGGTAGAAGAATGGGAAAATGTGTAGTTAGGGGGAAGAATGTTGGAGTTAGATATGATATTAGTACCTAAAATGCTAACCTTTGGATTTTATGATCTGATTGGCCAAAGACTTTGGTCAATGGACCCCAGATTCAAACCCAGTTCCCTGTACACTGAAAACCTAGTCCTGATTCCTAACCCAGGTGAAAAGGACTCTATTTCCTCTCCTGGGACACTCCTGTGAGAGTGGATTTTCCTCCAATAAGCTCTCAGCCCCACATATAATCTCAGCAGCCCTGAGTGGCTTGTTCTATGCCAGTGGAGAACCGGCCAGCTCAGGAGTTCTAGTGACGGCACATAAGGTTAAAAAGTGTAGTGTGAACAATTATCCGAGACCCCTCTTTCTTTAGGTAAACGCTAGCTGAAGTCATTGGCTTGGATTTAGAGGCCATGCCATCACACACAGGACAACAAAATGTTTCCCCATGTGACTGTCAGATGGGACCTTGGGGAATTAGAGGATTCACTGGTCTTTTGTCGAGCACCTACAGAGACACCTGCTCAGGTAGTGATGCCTGTTTACCCAGGCCAACTACAGGCGAGATGATCATACTATTTAAAGCGTGAATTATTACCCTCTGTTTCTGTTTCTTCACTGAGCTCACACATGTCCCAAGTAACACTCTTCATCCTGACCATCTTCCGCTGTCCACTGCCAGGAGCAGGTATGAGGGTGAGCCTCTCCATACTCAACTAGGAGCGCATCTCCTCCACTAGGTTAGTTATTACATAAAGAAGCAAAAACCAAGTCCTACTATTCTGGAGGCTTTGGCGAGACCCCCTTCTTTCATCCACCCACACTGCACCCCAACCCCCAGCACCTATAACCTTACCTGTCCTCTTTGCTTTAGACCATTAGGACGAATCTTTTTATGCCTTTTAATCCCACAACAAGAGGCCCAGGACTCTCGGGCCACCCCAGTTCTTGAGTCCCTTATTACCAGTTCTCTATGGCAGACAGATACCCCACCCCCACCCAGCACTCTCCCTCAGTTTCCCCCATAGCCCTTATCACTACCTGGGAGGCTGTAGCTCTGTGATGTTCATATCTGTCTCCCACCTGGACTATAAGTTCCATGGGGGCAGGGGAGGGGGTGGAAGAGAAGGTGGAGGGGAGGTGTGTGGAGGGGAGGTGGGAGGAGGGGAGGTGTATGGAGGGGAGGTGTGTGGAGGGGGTCACCTGTTTCCTTCACTGCTGTATCCTACCACCTAAAAGAATGCTTAGCTAGTGGCCAGCTTTTGGTAAGTGTCAAATGAATGAATGAAATGGCTTTCGTGGCTCCTTGTGATCATTTAAATAGACCCTTGCTCAAGCCGGATGTCCTTTGGAAGCCCCGTGCCAGCCTCTCTTGCATAATGAACCAGCCTCAGTCTGCATTCTCTATGCCACTTGCAGCCATGTGGCATGAGGAGACTTGTACACCCTGGACGTGCTGACAAATAGCAGCCTTGGGCTCAACAGTCTGTTTTGCATGAAATATAAAATGGTATGACTCATACAGCTATGATCATACACTTGCTCCCCCCAAAACAGGCAAATGCCAAGTTCTGAACTTAATCCTGTCTTTCAGGGAAAGCTACTCTGAGATCCATTTCTAAACTGTAGTTACATAGCAAAAAGGAAAAAATAAAACAACTATTTGTTTCGTAATAATCCGATCCATTACATTCTGCCAGAGTCTCCGCTTACTCCCCAAATGTAGGGTCCACAAGCAAGAGAAAGAAGTGCTGGGCCCCCACTGGGAGCCTCCTCCCCCCGGAACAGACGGTCTCCCGCCGCAGGCTCTGAACATTCTCTGGCTGTCCGAGATCTCCTGCAACCAGACCGAGATGCCCGGGCTCTGCCAGGGCAGTGGGCGATGCTGCCTGGCAGAACACATGCCCAAGTTAGTACTGGAGGATTCCTCCCCCACCGTGGATGCTAATTTTAAAAGCAGTTAAAGAAAGAGGCAGGGTAGGGAAGAACTGAGGGAGATGAGGAGACAGGAAGTACAGCCGTGTTCACTTACCGGTAAATGATGCCCTTGCTCTGTAAGAAGAACAGACCGATGGCAATTTCTGCAGCATAAAATCTGAAATTAAAAAAAAAAAAAAAGAAAAGTGATGGAGAAATTCAAGGACACCACATGCTTGGCAACTCTCAGAATTCAATACAGCATTGAACGAGGCAGAGGACATTTGTGTCCCACCGAGAGTGGTCAGCCACACAACTTGTAAGATGCGGGGGGCGAGTGTGGATAGATGGACAGGGTTTGAAGAGCTGGGAGGCTGCCTTAAGGAAAAGTGGGAGTGAGCAGAGGTTCAGTGATTGTTTAGCGGAGAGGAGGCCATGGGGCATGATGGGCTGGACGGAGCATGAAGGTTCCAGAAGACGCCAAGCTAAAATACCTTGGTAACAGCTAACACGTATTGAAGGCTTGCCAGCTACCTAGCATGACTTTGGGTTATAATCTGGTTTAGATCCTAATCATAGTCCTACTCAGTAAATCCTAGTATTACTTTCCTCCTCCTTAGGTGAGGAAACTGAGGCTCAGAGTCGAAAAATAACTCAGCCAAGTAGACTGCTGGTGAGGGCAGAGGCAGGGCAGAAGGCAGTGTCCATGTCACACTCTCGGTGAAGGTCTGGAAGGAGAGAGGTTTGGAGGGGACCAGAAAGCCCAGCCACACCACAAGAGGTGGGGAGAACTTTGGAGAACCAAGCGAAGCATCCTGATGAGATGTCTGTGTGTAATGAGATGAAGGCCAGCAGTCCATTAGATGTTGGAAGTAGAAGATGAGAGAGTCAACCCTGTGGTCTTAGAGTTGCACCAAGATCTGCAAAGGGCAAGATCTGGAAGCACGAGCTTGCAAGCCCTGTGGGAATACCGTGCCCATAACCTTGGCCAGTGGGGCAGGAAGGTCAGGGCTGAAATGAGCAGGAGTCAGAAGCTTCTGGAATGAAAGGATGGGGTCCTGCAGGCATCCCAGGGTCATTCTAGAGAGCAGCAAGGTCTTAACAAACTCCCCAGAAGAGGTTATCATGGCTAATTCTGATGACTTGCTATGTTCCTGTTCTAAGCAGACGAGATTTGTGTTCTAAAAAGAAGAGACTGACTGCCTTGGGAGCCAAAGAAGACAGAATGGACTCAGCAGGGGAAGCACCTTTCCAAGGAAGGAGTCAGTCTTCCCCCCCAAGAGCCACTGAGTGGAGCCGATCTGCAGACCCCTGGAGGGAAGGCATCCAAGAGGAAGAGTGATGTAGGTCAGAGGACATGAGCAAAGGGGACCTGGGTCAGAAATCTGGATCTGTTTTATGCTAGCTCTGTGGTCTTGAGCAAGTTTCTAAAAGCTCTCTGGTGTGTTTCCTGGTTCGTAAAGTGGAGATGAGAACACTTACCTCTAGGTTGTTCTCAGGATTAAATGGGACAATAGCTGTTAAGCACTTAGGGCTTGGCCCGGTGCAAGCTCCCAGTTAATATTGGCAAATGAATAAACACCGACAGTGACATTCTCCAAGGAAACTACAGGCCTTTCCTTGAGAGTCAGAGGCAAGAGATTAGAGATAAAGCTATACTTCATAATGCTGATTATAACTAATTAGATATAAAGAAACAACTGGGAATTCCGAGTGTCAGGTTTGCAGCTGGTGCGAGAGAAAGAAGCATCCCAGATCAAGCAGGACACCTGTTGCCCAGGTCAGACATTTCTTAAGAAGTTGCTCAAGATACTGAAAATTGCTATGCAGGGCCCTCCCTGGTGGCGCAAAGGTTAAAGCGCAGCACTATGAAGTTATCCACAGCCACTGCAGTACGAGTTCCATCCCTGCCCTGGACCTGACCCACGTGGCACAGCAGACCTCTCCGGTCCCACCCACTGCTCCCCTCAGCAGTGTACTTCGCCGATCTGCCTGTTCTGCTCCCCACTCTGTCTCTGGTGAACCCTCTCACTGCCCCTGCACCTCTGGCCTGTACCCCAGTTCTGTATGCATAAATATAATAAAACTTTAGGTAGATAGATAGACAGACAGACAGATAAAATTTCTATGCAGCTAAAGCCCCAAAGGAATGACCGGTCCAGCCACTCATCCCCAGGGCAAGACATGGTGCTCACTTACACAGCGTGAGGCTCCTTAAACCGGCCAACTTGCTGGATGTGGTACATGAGGTCACCCCCATTCACATACTCCATCACAAAGTACAGGCGGTCCTGCGAGAAGAGACCAGACAGCAAAATCAACATCCTGGAGCACTACTTCCAAATGGAGAGCAGGGAATAATCACGGATTTCTGATCAGAACCACCAGGCCCCTGTGACAGGCCCTCATTCGCCTTCTGTTTCCCCAAGCGGAGTATCTGCACCACAAAAAGTATGCAAATGAGCACAGGTGATGCACAGTTTCTTAAAATTAACTCTATATTTAAATTTTTGTTCCTCTGTACCAGAAAATATCATTAGCTCATTAATCTTGGGACGTAATGGATCTCACTGTTTAGGTTAAAGCTAATAAAGTAGGAAATATTAAGAAATCATAGTAGAGGTAACGGGGAATGGAAGTAACCAGACCCTCTGATGGGCCTCCGTGACCTTCCTCTTTTGGTATTCACGTAATCCCTTCCCACAGGGAAAAGGACTGACTTGTGTCTGCAGCAGGTGACCATAAAAAGGCCTGCGCGGGACTTTCAGGACTGGGCCATCCAAGAAGTACCCTCCCACTTTGCCCCTTCTTGAGCTATTCGTTTTCAGGGAAGCCAGCCCCATGTTGAGGGGCATTTGAGCAGCAAGATGGAAAGAAAACAAGTCACCTATTTAAAAAAAAAAAAAAAAAAAGATGAACACTTTCCATGACAACAACATGGATGGAGCTGGAAGGGACGGTGCTAAGTGAAGTCAGTCAGAAGAAAAGACGAATACCAGATGATGTCACTTATTCATGGATGGGGAGGAGCCAAAATGAGGGTCAGACTGAACCGACAACAAACTCTTCATTTCTGAATGCACAACTGTGGTAACCAGAAGGGCAGGCTGGCGGGGTGGAGGCGGGGGTGGGAGGAGTCCCACGGCGGGCAGGGTTTGCAAGCACGTATTTGTAGAGGTTTGACGCTACAGTCCCTAAAACAGCCAGTGTGTAGATCAATTTTACCTAATAACATCATTGCAGGAAATCTTCCTTGTAGCTTTATCTTATTCACACCTTATATGCCTGTGTCCAGTGTGCACTAAGGGCCTAAGCGGTAGAATAAGAGCAATAGTGAAGTTAAGCTACCATCCTGCAAGCACTTATCATGGCACTAGTGAAGTACCTTCTATATTTGGTTTCATTTTCTCTTAAAACAGCATTACTATTCTGTCCCTTTTAAGGACATGCTACCTGCCGCTCAGAAAGGGAAAGTAGCATACTAAGGGCCACGCAGCTGTTCAGCTACGGAACCAGGGCCTGGGCCCCGAACAATCCCAGCGTCTACATTTGCCACCTTCTATTGGGTTCTGTGCCGGACACTGTATGGATGAGCCGGGGTGTCCTTCCCTCCCAGAGCTTCCAGTGCAGAAGGGGAGGGGAGGCGCAGAGGGATTTAGCCACCCGTTGGACAGGACAGCAGTATGGGCTACTCGAACGCTTCTGAAATGTGCAAGGACATGAGGACTCTTCTCAGTACTGCTACTAGAGGCAAAGTGCTCTCTTGTGCTCACAGTGCCCAAGGCCAGACACGCATAAAGGTCGCCTTCGAGTTAGCAGCAGAGGAGACAGCCAGAACTGCCAACACCCAGCCCCTGGTTCTGGGGGGAGGGGTTGGGGGTTGACAGAAAACAAGCCTAAAAATAGCATCTGTCTTTGCTGCACGTTGAAGAGAACCAAAACACTTGCTTTTAAAAATTATTTTTAAAACTAGCAGATGGCATTGGCCACAGAGAGAGGAATGAGGGAGCGATTTCACTTGCTTGCTTTTTACTTGGAAGAACTCAACTTGCCCCCCAAATTCATTAGTCAGAATCCCAACAAGGCGGGGGGTGGGGGGATCTGCTGTGGGCAGCCCCATGTTTTTGTGGCCGGTTTCCACCACTAACTGTATTTGGGGAAACCCTGAGATCTGTCCTCTTTGGTCTGTGCTGAGCCTGGCTCGGGCAACCCAGTGTCCTGCTATGACGCGTTACAGCTGGCACCTGGCTGTCCTTGTAGTTTCTGGACAAACACTTAGTGGCCCAGTATATGCCAGGTGCTGTTCTACTGCCAGGTGCTGTGTGAATAACCCACATTAGTGCCCGATGTTAGGATTCCCTGGACCAGTGGGGAGACCAGGCATATTCTCAAATGACTGTTTCCCAAGATAGGGTGGGAGATGACTGGGAGGGGCGTGGGTGCTTACGTTTTCACCTTTATAGCTTTATGGTTTACTGTGTATTGTAAAACACAACACCGGAAGCCCCTGATTTTATGACTAGAGAGGAAGAGGAGGATTCATGGAATTACGACAGGCACAGGAGGGATTCTCTGGCAGTAGGGTGACCTGGTTCAGGGCCATCAACCCAAACTCTGGCTGTCCTACTCACAGCTTCAAGAGCTTTACTGTGTTTGTCTGCCTTGTCTACTAAAATTACTTATTTTGAATTATTTTTACTAACTTGCTTTAAAAAAATTTTATTTAAAAATTTTAAATGCTTTTTTATTTTAAAATTTTTTGACTTTATACCAAAGTTATAACTAGCAAGTCATTGTGTCTGTTTAAAAAAAAAAACAAAAAACCGTTATCTGGGGTCTATTAACTGTGCTATATGCAGTCTGGCTTTGGTACATCAATCCTTCAATAACTTATTTTTTTAAATATGCAATCTGTCCACACACCACCAAGTTCATCTCCTACTCTGATGTAAGAAACATCGAAATTTGGAAAACTCTGCGGGAGGCAATCAAGTGCTAATGTTAAGCAGAAAAGTGAATTTTAGAACTTTCATTGAGAATTTATTTCTGCAAGTCATGGTAGTAGGTGAAAAAGGGGCAAAGATAATGACAAAGATAAAGGCCTTGACCTCAGAAAACTCAGAGGCCTTAAAGCAAATAGGCAGTGAATAAAATCATAATCCAAAGTAGACTGTGATCCAAGAAATTGCCTGAGAGGCACAAAAAGTGGGCTCCAGTGAGTAGTTCACTTAACAAAGTAGTCTTGCCCACTCCCTCTGATTTTTACTAATAATTATTTTCTTCCACAGTGCCCTGAAATTTCATTGTTTTCACTCTGCTTATGAAATTATTTCAAGGTCTTAAAAGATATTTCACATGGAGTGGTTCTGATGTGGACTTAACTTGCTAGACTCTACAACATGGAAATAGTATAAAGTAGGTACGTGCAGACATATATTTGACTATATATATAGAAAGATGGAGAATCAGTTCAAGGTCCAGTTTAGTGCTCCCTTATTCGCTCAATTTCTCAGAAAGAGCCTAAAACTTCAACTCTCATCACTCAAGACTAACGAATCCTGACTTACATTCGATCCTTCCCTTCTCCTGAGTTCCACGCAGGCAGCTCCAGCTGGCCACAGGACGTTTCAACGTGGGTGTTCCACTGTCAAATCCAATTAAAAGCTCTGCAAGGCAAGCTCCCCATCTTTCTCCTCAAACTAACCAATCTGCTCAACGTCCAGTGTCTCATCCAAAGTGCCGGGATGTCGTTACTGCCCTCTGTTACACACTGCCCTCGCCCTCTCACCATGAAATGACTTCAACTCATTTTAAATTCCCTTCCTCCTTTACCTCTCCCATCCAACCAGTAAGTAAATAAAGTTGAACATCTGTCAGTGTGCCATGCAAAACAGCAGGAGAAAATCTCCCAAATTTGGGATGCGAGAGCGAGGACAGTCTCACTTTATTTATATATTTTTTAGATTTATTTATTTATGCATACAGAACTGGGGTACAGGCCAGAGGCTCAGGGGCGGTGAGAGGCTTCACCAGAGACAGAGTGAGGAGCAGAACAGGCTGACTGACAAGTACACTGCTGAGGGGAGCAGCGGGCGGGTCAGGAGAGGTCTGCCGCGCCATGTGGTCACCTCCGGGGCAGGCGGGATTCGAACTCATGCACAAGTGGCTCTAGCCTCTCAGTGCTGTGCTCTAACCTGCTGTGCCACCTGGAGGGCCGACAGTCTCACTTTAAACATGACCAGCTGCCAAGGGCAGTATCTGGAGGAGGGTGGCTAGGGAAAGGAAGTCACTCTCCCTCTGAGACAGCTGAAAGTGGCCGTGACCCCATGCTCATGGGTGCCAGGGTACACCTGCCACTTTCAAGAAGACACCACGACAGAGAAAATCAACAATGTGGACAGCACCTGTGTGTCATGTTCTTAGGCCAGCTGAGTACGCGCCTGCCTATTTAATGATCTTTAGTGGTTTTCTAAGCGGGTCACACATTCGCCGTGATTCTGCCTGCCATACATCATGGGCAGCAGCAGGCTATGTCCTGCTCCAATTCAACCACTGTGGGGGCACCAAGTAATCCTTCCCAGTAGGTACAAGCCCTTTTCAAAGGTTCCTATCAAGTTAGGAGTCACCAATTGCCAGCTGACTGGAATAAAACACCCAACCTATACCGAGCCATTCAGAGTCTCTCTCTTCTGAATATGAATTAGAATCAGGGAATCTGGTGGCTAGACAAACTGCAAGAGGCTAGAGAAACCATGTTGCCATGAGCAGGGAGGCAGAAAGCAAGAAAGAAGCAGAGATCTATTCTAGAAAGCTTTGAAGTTATCAAGAGGCTCAGGTGCATCTTTACCTTTGATTTGCTTCCCTCCAATAGAGCTCTTGTATTTTTTTTAAACATGAGCTAGTGTGGGGATTGGGGGAGCTTTGCTCCTGGCAGCCCAACCGTCACTGTGAGACTATTGCCAGAACTTTCAACTGCAATGCTCTTACGTCAAACTATATCCCTGGATACTGCTGCCAGCCCACCGCGGACTCCAAGTTACCAGGATCCCTCGGGACTCGGTGGGACATGCCTTCCACAGAGGAATTCATTATCCCCACCCCCTCCCTCACCCATCTTGCGTTCTGGGTTGATGCTCTTCCCAGCATGCCTTGCAACTGAGTCCTGTCGGGCCACGACAGCAAATTTGGGGAGGAAGTAACTTCTGTCCTTCAATGACTCATAAAATCTAATTCTATTCTTTAAAAAAAAAAGTGCATATGTTCAATTGAAAAGAAAACATTTAAAATAGCT